AGAGTCTTATAATGAAACTCTTTAATAGCAGTACATCTGGATCCAGACCGGATCCACCTCAGTTTCTGTTCACACTGTACATGGCACTTTTTTCTTTCTTTTCAAAATAAAATCAGATATATCTGAGATATTTGGCCAGTGACGTCACAGACACTTTGACAAAATGAATTTGATGGCAGACGTGTCGTTGGCATGCCAGATCCACAACCAATCCAAATCCATTTCAGAACAACATCACACGCTCACAATAATGATACATTCATCTTTCAAATCAGGAATTAACTCGTGGCGAAAGCACAACAGACCAATCACTGCAACACAAAGTCTCAATATGCACATGCACAGGTGTATTTAACCACAAGATATCACACTTCTTTTGTATTTTTCATAGGCCACTTGAATTTGTCCCGAAATTAATACAAAAAAACAAAGCAGTTGAAATAAACAGTTCAGGAGTTGCACCAAACAAACATTTCGTAACTTCAAATTCATTCCTCCCATGAACTGAATTTGTTCAAACTTGTAAAAAAAACTGCAAAAAATACCTGTACGACACTGAATCCTCTTGTTAGCTTAAATAACACCCAGAAATCACACAACCAGCCAAAATAAACATCTATAGACAGAAAATAATGTTCATTAAACACAAGATATCTACACATACACATGAGGAGACATTCGCATACACATCTGACAATGAAAAATAATGTTTCAACTCAACAGGCAACACTTTACAACATTTAGACGTGTACAGCAAATGTTGTCACCCATGATAAGTTCAAAACAAGTTTATCTTTACTTTCCCCACATACACACAATAAAATATCATTAAATTAGGCCAGAAACATATTTATACCCAAGTACGTGAATGCAAACTCCATCTGCAATATCTCAGTGTTGACGCAGCGGACTAGTGTACTTGTGTGAGTATGTTTCTGGTGTTTAGTGTACTTCAGTGCGTGTAGACAGCAGCAGCAGGGCCTGTACGTCATCAAGATCAGACCAGGCTGAATGGCTTTTATTATTTTCTAAGATTATATGGAAGCCCGTTTCCGCTACTGAAAAAAAGGTAATTGCAACTTTTTATCTAACAATTCTGACTTTTT